ACAGTGCCCGACACCTTTATCGTCCGCCTAACTGGGCCAGCCCTCCCTTCCAGTTGTCGTGTGTTTGTTCCCAAATTGCAGGTTCACGTCGGGGGCAGCGTGGCCGTGCTCGGCGGGAAGCTCTACGTCTCCGGTGGGTACGACAACACGTTTGAACTCTCGGATGTCCTGGAAGCCTACGACCCCGAGACGCGAGCGTGGAGCGTGGTGGGCCGACTCCCCGAGCCCATCTTCTGGCACGGCAGCGTCAGCATATTCCGGCAGTTCATGCCAGAAACCACGCAGGAGGACGACGGCATCACGCTGGACAACACCATCAACTTGAACAGGCAGCACCAAAACCTTCACAACCAGAACCTTAACGAGCTTCGTTAGCCGGGGAAGGCGCTGTCGCCCTGGCTCGGCGCGAGTTCCTTTTCCAGAACCAGTTGCTTCGAGAGAAGGCAGAGGCAAACGGGTGCTTGGAAACAACACCGTACTGTTCCCCGAGGGGGTGAAAACTCTGAATGTTTGAGGCGCTGCTGCGGCACCGCAGCCGGCAGCCGGCGAGGCCTCTGCTGCGGCGTCCCTCGGCCCTTCTCTGGGCGGGAGAAGGCGCCGTGCTGCCCGCAGAGGAGACCCGAGAGGGGAACTCTGAGGAAAGCCACCGCGTTGAACATCGCCGCAGCATCGCAGCTCACGGCTTTCCGCCAGACGCCTTTCGCTGGGAGCTCCTTCACCCTGAGACACTTCATTTGCCGCCGAATTCCTTTCTTCAGTTTCTTTTTCAGGAGGGGTCTGGACCCCCACTTCTGTTATGTGCCTGGGAGGAAGACAGACCTCCTGTGCACGCCTTCCTCTGTGTGGTTGGAGGGGGGCAAGGCCTTCCCAGGAGAGCTGGAGGTTTGTTAGGGGCGAGGGGTTAGTATGAGAACGTGGCCCTTCCCGCCCTGTTGCCGTGGTCCTCGGTTCCCATCCATGCCTTCAGAAGGAACAGTCCTCTAGCAGGATCTCGCCGAGGCCGGGTTATGAAGCTTCACCTTTCCCTATGTCCCAGCTTCAGTTCTTCCTGTGTTTTGGTGGGTTTTTTAAGTTGCAGCATTTAAACTTTTTGCAGGTATTTGTGTTCCAGCCCTTCCTAGCAGAGCGCTTTTTCCTCCTAAGAAGAAACACCCTTATTTATCTCTTCGTTGCATTCTCACAGCTCGATTGTTTTCATTTCTGATCATCCCGGCTGCGCCCTCCTTGAGGGGGAAGGGGAGAAGCGAGTGCCCCTCTCAGCTGGCCCGAGGAGGGGCTCCCAGGGCTGGCTGCTGCTGCCCTCGGGAGGAGCCGTTCCCCTCCCTGGCGCGACCGGGCCGAACCAGCCGGGGAAGCTGCTGCTTGGGGCAGGGGCCGTTTGCTGTCGGTTCTCCCGTGGCCCGGCTCTCGGCCGGCGCGCTGGGCTGGGCAGAGGCCCCGTGCAGCGAGGGTGCGTTTTTATCCCTTCACCGTTTCAAAGGAGCTAAGGCGGCGCTGTATTATTTTAAAAACCACCTTACCGGGAAAGGTGAGCGCAGCTTCCTCGGGAGATCCGCCGTGGGCTGGCGGGGTTGCTGGCGGCGTTCAGGTACCTTGGTGCCGAATCGCTTTCCAGCACGTTGCGACCTTCAGAGGGGCCTCGTGCCTGTCGCGCCTCGTTTGCGGGAGCTCTCGGGATTTGGGCAATTGGAAAATGCCGCTGAGGTGTTTTGGTGAAGGTGTAGGTGTTAGCCAGAGTGCTGTGGAGTGAAAGGTAGTTCTTTTAGGTTGTGTTTTTCTTTTTTGTGTTTGGGGTTTGCTGTTTTTTTCTGGCCTGTGTAAGATTTGCCTTTCTACTCGCCCAAGTGACCTAGCTAGCTTGGGCTGCGTTTCCTCTGCCTGCCTCGGCTGAAGCGAAGCTGCGTGCAGTTTGCTCGTGGAAAGTTTCTTGAACAAGCAACGGCTGAAACTGCGGCACAGCTCACCCGAACGGGCACGTCGCAGCTTCGGGAGGACTGTGAAGCGTGACAACGGCTGCAGCGTCGGCTGGATGCGCTCGATTTTTCCACCTTTCGCATTTAAACTGGGTTCAGAGGTGGAAAGCCCGTGTACTTGACGGCAACGCCTCCTGGCTTGCCCTGGAGCGAGAGCGTCAGAGCCCCGTCTCCACAACAGCCGCGTCGTCGCAGCTTTAAAAAAAATCTGGTTTGCCTTGAACGCGATGTCACGCCGCGCTCCTCTGCCGTGGAGCCTGGGGACGCCGTGCCCCAGCCCGGGCTGGCCTCCGAGTCCCAAACTTTGACAGTGCCTTGAAAGCGCCGGCGGAGGGGCCTCGCCTTTTTTCTCGGCTTCAGGCCTCCGCGGCGCTACCGTGGGTGGGGTGCGGGGGGGCACGCGGAGTCGGGGCGGCTCCTTCGTTTCTGGCAGCAACGGCCACGTGTCCCACGGACCCGCGAGGCCATCGCGGACAGTCGCCGCGCGGCTGAACTCGCGTCGCAGCCCGACGTGTTTATGCTGAGCTATCAATAGTGCGCACACTCCGTCTCGTGCTGTAGTGCTCGCTGCTGGACCTGCCACCCCCAAATTCCCCAACCGGCCAAACAGTTACGGATCTGTATTTATTTTTTGTAAAATTCGTTGTGTCTGATCTTTGAGTACAATTTAAATACCGTCCTTTGAAACAAAGGCATTTACAGATAATGTATTTTTATCCTCATGGTTTGTTTTAAAATTTACTTGCAGCAGTCAAGTTAATAAAACATGTTACATAAATCTCTGTCGTCCTTGAGGGGGAGATTACGGGACTAAGTTTTTACTGCCACGTTTCTCGTTCTAGGCCTGAGGTACGTTCAAACCAGAGACCTTCTGCCTTCTCGGTGAGTAAAAGAGGGAAGGGGGAGAGAGCACAGCTGCCGTTTAGGGGCCTGTGGGTACAGGCGGTGATCTTCCCCCACCCTGGGGAGACTCAGGAAACAGTTCTCCATGTCACAGCAGCCCCGGGTCACTTCAGACAAATACAAGTCCCCACACCTGGAAACAGGAGCTCAGGGCATTGGACAATGGGTTTCAAGTAACAGCTTCGTTATCTCGAGGGTGAGAAGATAGAGGTTCGGCCCCGCCTTTAATGTGGTAAAGGAACGGCAATTAGCAGAACCTTGACAGAGCAAAGTAGAAACAAGGCACAAATTTAAGGAGGGGACAATCCTTTAAGGAAAGGGGCAGAGCCGCACTCTCCTGGGGCAGGTAACCCCTAATCAGGAGCCGTCGGGCTCAAAGGGGCGCAGGCGCTGGGGGAAGGTGAGGCCAGGGCCGGCCGCAAACGAGAGCTCGTTGAAAAGCAGTTCACGGTTGTGGTGCACACGAGGCCGGGGCGTCACTCGCATCCCGCCTCGGCAGCTCAGGTACCTGCATCTGAGCAGCCGTTCAGAGCAGCTTCGCATTTCCTTCGCTGAGACCCGGTTATAACTTCGTTATAACTTGACTTCCCGGCAACCCGGGGCGGGAGCTTTGTGGGGAAGGAGGGGAAGGGGCGGATGCACGACTCGAAAGAACAAGGGTGGCAGAGAGCGGCTGCAGCCCAACGCTTTATTGTGTTTCGGCAGGAAGGGCGCGCGCAGGCGGGCGCGCTACGTCTCACCGTCTTCGGGAACCGTCGTCGT